TTTTATATGCATATGTTGCTGTTGTTTAGTCACTAAGTCGTGTCCAACTGTTTGTGACCCTATGGACGGTAGCCTGCCAGGCTGCTCTGTCCATTGGTTTTCCCGGGCAAGAATACTAGAGTAGGTTGCCATTTCCTTCTCCAGGGGATCTTCCCGACCCAGGGATCGAATTCATGTCTCCTGCATTGGCAGGCAGGTTCATTACCACTGAACCACCACCAGGGAAGCCCTGACCAGTCTGAGTACTCCTCAAAACTGCCAAGGCCAACAAAAACAAGGGAAATCTGAAACACTGTTACAGATAAGAGAAGCTTAAAGAGAAGTGATGACTAAATGTAACATCCTGTCCTATACAGGATCCTGGAGTAGAAAAATATATTAGGTATAAACCAAGGAAACCTAATGTATCAACACTGGTTCATCAATTGTAACAAATGTACCACACAAACTAGTAAGATATTAGGGCTTCCCTTGGACTGCAAGGAGATCAAACCAGTCAATCCTAAAGGAAATCAGTCCTGAATATTCATTGGAAGGACTGATGCTGAAGCTGAAGCTCCAGCACTTTGGCCACCTGATGCAGAGAACTAACTCATTGGAAAAGATCCTGATGCAGGGAAAGACTGAAGGCAGGAGAGGGGGACAGAGGATGATACGGTTGGATGGCATCACTGACTCGATGAACATGAGTTTGGGCAAGCTCCAGGAGTTGGTGATGGACAGGAAAGCCTGGCATGCTGCAGTCTGTGGAGTCGCAGAGTCTAATGAGCTACTGAACTGAATTGAATATAAGATATTAAGGGAAATGGTGTGGAGTATATGGGAACTCTCTGTACTATCTTTGCAGTTTTTCTAAAATTTAAAACTTTAAAAAAAATTTATTAAAAAAATTTAAATACAAAATAAATTTTAAAAATTATTTGAAAATTCTGCTTAAGCACTTTTAAAAACAAAGCACAAGCATGTTGGAAGTTTAAACTATCTTGTCTTCTGCTCACATAAATCTGGTGTGTATGTTAACCTGTCTCAGTAGAAATGAAAATATTTGGGTTTTACTTACTGAGCTTGGGGATAATCTGTTTCTCTTTGGAAACTAAATGATCATTTATACATTTTCCAACTAGAGAATGAGGGATTTTCCAAAAGTTTACATTTAAGTCAAATGTTTGAAACTTGAAACACATTTTCCCACAGAAATGTTGTTACAAACAGTGGTTAATTCCCAGGCTAACCACTGAAGCTCCTTAAACTCATAATAAGCAAAATAGATGTTTTCAATGAAAAGTGTAAAAACTGTACTATGGGGGTAAAAAAAACAAACTTGCCTTTGAAATTCAAAAGATAAATTTAAACATGCAATTTAAATTTATTCTCATTAAATTCATCACCCGGTGTTTGGATTAGAGGCTTACTTTGGGCCTCTTTGCACATAACCTTAAAACACCAAGAATGAGGGTGGGAGAGAAGAGTGGAGGGTGTTAAACTCGAGTGGGTGGGCGATGGAAAGATTTTAAGCACAGCCTGGGAAGTCAAGTGTATGGTTTTAACTCAGATTGGGCGGGCAGGTTTCTACTCTGATTTTGTTGGGGAGCGGGGGGAGGGTGGACGGGTACAGTGAAGTTACTTGAATATTCATTAGAAGGACTGATGCTGAAGCCTCAACCCTTTAGTCACCTATTGCAAAGAGACAACTCGTTGGAAAAGACCCTGATGCTGAGAAAGACTGAGGGCAGGAGAAGGGGGTAACAGAGGATGAGATGGCTGGATGGCATCATGACTCAATGGACACGAGTTTGAACAAACTCCAGTAAAGGACAGAGGAGCCTGGTACACTGCAGTTGCAAGGGGTTGCAAGGTTGGAGACAACTGAGCAGCTAGCTGAACAACAAAATGAAGTTGGTACCCGAAAGGACAGAAGCAGGGACAGAAGAGGGCTTTGCCTTCTCGTAACCCTACAATCTTAGTGTGCTACTTTGCAAAGGGTAGATAACGGAGTACATCTGTGGGCAGCTGCTAAGCACGAACGACCAGTCGGCTAACCCTTCCTGCTGGGGTCTGAGTATAAGGGTGGGCAGCCGCAGGCAGCAGACCTGGGCTCCTCACACTAGTGTGCTACCAAGCAGAGGACCAAGAAAGTGGATTCACGTAAAAGACCTGCGGGTATGCTAACAAGGTGTAAAGTGGACATAAAATTCCCAGCAGGGAGGGTCAGAAGAGGAAACAAAGGTAAGAGGTAGAAATGAAGTTTCTGGCAGTGGTGCCAGCCAAAATGTCAGACCCCAGCTGGGGTCACCATTTCTATAGCACAGTGAGGCCTGTTTGATGTATTTCAGGTTTGTCTATCCTGGTTTAGGGATGCACTACACATTTACTAAAGATACAACATTATACCATAAAAAGAATCGTAAGGACTTTTCAGAAGCATACATAAAAATCAACATTTTTATCGAGTATTTAACAATTTTTTTCAGTATTTTTTGGCCACACCATGTAGCATGCTGGATCTTAGGTCTCTCAACCAGGGATGGAACCTAAGCCCTATGCATTGGGAGAGTGGAGTCTTAATCACTGGACTGCCAGGAAAGTCCCTCAAGTATTTTTTATAAAATGGTGTTTTTTAATAATGCAATATGAACTTAAAAATAATTTTTAATTGCTCTTCCTCTCCCTCTTCATATACCCTCTCCATCAATGCTTACAATCCAATAAACATCTTTCCTTGATTTCCCTAATTTTACATTAAGAATTCAAATATATAAGTACATTTTACATGGTTTTATGAAATAACTGTAGGTGTTACCAGCAGGTGTATTAATACATATTGATAATGGCAGGTCAATGATATGCTATAGCAGAGATACAATGAATTTATTCAACCATTTATTCTTTATTATAGACAGTCGCTGCTTCCTTTATTTTGCTTTGTACTGCTTGAGGAAATGTTACAAAAAATCTTCATACAAATACCTTGTGTTATTCAAGTTATGTTCACTTGCTGTTGTAACGAACACTCTAAAAATCTCACTAGCTTACCACAACAAGTTTGTTTCTAGCTGACATCACTGCCTCGTGCAAGTCAGCCTGTTACCATGAGGAGTGTGCCTCCAGTCGTGATTCAGGGGATCCATCTTAATGGGTTCACTATCTCAGATTTCTTCCTTTCCAGCATTCAACATGACAGAAAGCTTGGAAGACAAGGAAAGGTTCATGACAAAGACTGGATGTCACTTGGGACACGTCTGCCCCAGACTCCACTGGCTACAACCCAATCAGAGGCCCCAACCTAACTGCAAGGGAGGCTGGAAAATGCAGCCTTCCTGTGTGCCCAAACTGGAACTGGGTGAACATTTAGCCAAATTTGCAAATTTTTTATATAGCTTAGTGGCTTTATTCCAAAGGTTGTATTTCTCAACTGCAATTTCTAAGTTGCAAAATTTCTACATAACTTGTGTGTCTATATCACTTTGCGAAAAAGACCATAACTCCTGTCAGCGGAGTACAAATACTCAGAACCATTTTTGCTTTTCTAAATCTCCCTTCCAAAGGCGCTGAAAGACTAGAAACTCAATTGAACGGGATCCTGGTTTAACTTCCACCAATCAGAGGCACTCTCACTGAAACTAGAAGAGTGAAGAAAGCAGGCAGCCTTTATTTCATTCGAACATGCTGACAGATGGCAGAAATGGCCTGTATAGTGGCTTCCAGGTGACATCCTGCATTGTGCTGAGATTACTGGCAGGGGCTTTCCCTGAAATTCCTGCACTACTGGATTTTCTAAAAGCCAGCAATAATTTCTCCTCATTCCCTCAGTCTTTCTGACAGTTAAGTGAACATCTCATTTCTTGTATAAAAATCTCTTCTTACTTCAAATATTTAAAGCTTGTTTATAGACTAGGAGCTAACTTACACATCAACACAGCAGGTCTTTTATTTTTGCTTAGGACCCATTTTTTTTCTCACATATGATTTTTTAATTCTTAAATTTCAAATATATTTGTTTCATATTGCAGTTGTGGAATTGCTGTCTTCCCAAGCATTAGTTAACATATTCTATAACACTTCTAATTTTTATATTTTATAGTTAAATCATTAACTCATCTGAAATTTACTTGTGTATGTGCTATAACTGCTAGTATCATTTATTAAATTGTTTTCTCATCCAACTGAAATACCATCTTTGTCTCAAATATCTTGATCTATTTCTAGGCCACACAGTCTATTCCAGCGATCTGTTTAACTGAGCAATGCCATATAGTGTTGACTGCTGTGGTTTTATAAAATATTTTAACTGGTTTACAAATCTAAATTCGAAAGATCACCTAACACAATAATCTGTGTTACCCGGTTAACTCATTTGTATATAAATTCTTAATATGTCTGCATATACTTGAACTTTCTACAATATTAATAACAGAAACATCTGAATGCTTGGCTAATACAAAGGAGCAATGGCCAATCCTAACTTGATTCCAAATTTTTGAGAAGCAGCAGCCTCACTCTTCTCACTAACTGCTTTCATAGCAAGTGAATGTTATAAAGCTGAATTTGTAAAGTAACATTATCCTAATCAAATACTACTTTTTCCATTTATATATACTTTATATATAAGACTGTATATATAAAGGCATCTATGTAAGAGCTTGTTTATAAAATGGGTAACACTACCAGCAATTTTTAAAACTGCTGGTTTAATACATAAACTTGTATTACTTTTACTATTATTCAACTGTTTGATTTATTTTTTTATTAAGATATAATTCACATACCACAGAATTTACCCTTTAAACTATCCAAATCAGTGGCTCTTGGTACATTCACGAAGCTGTGCATCGATCACCACTTTGTAATTCCTGTTTGTCTGATTTTTTTTATTATTATTTAAAAAAGTAGAAAACCAAAAGCATAATTTTCATTCAATAAATATCATTCGATCCTTAAGCAGCTTTGTTGCAGAAAGTGAAGTCCGTGATTTTAGATTATTTTCGGTTTAGAATCAGTTTTCACACAGTTTCAATAATTGCAGCAATTTCCTTGAATTGTCTGTAGAAATTCTGAGGAGAAAGGGGGAAACAATATTAATTTTGCTTTTAGAGGATTCTTTAGTTCTTTTAATTATGTCTGTCTAGCAGAGGGTCTATAACTTATTAAGTCTGCATTTTAATGTTAAATCCTCAACTATTATTATTCAAAGGTTACCATAAGAAGCAAAAGGTGTAATCTGGTGCAAGCAAAAATACTACTGTAGGATTGAATAATTAGCTCATAAATAAACTTTCTGAACGCTTCCAACAAAGTTCTTTTGAGACCACACCAGAAAGATTTATTAAATGTCCAGAGCTGTCATAGACAATAAAGACGTTTAAAAAATGACACATTGGGTCCCAGGTTTTGAACCAGTTTTAATTTAGTGAAAGACTGCATTTCAGGGTGATTGATAGAGGCTGTCTTGTCAATTACAGTAAGAGAGACCCAACACTGATAGCAGCTTATATGCGTGTGTGCTCAGTCATGTCTGACTATTTGCAATCACATGGACTGAGGCCTGCTAGGCTCCTCTGTCCATAGGATTTTCCAAGCAAGGATACTGGAGTGGATTGCTGTTTCCTTCTCCAGGGGATCTTTCTGACTCAGGGATGGAACCAGCATCTCTTGCGTCTCATGCATTAGCACGAGGATTCTTTACCACTAGCGCCACCTGGATTTATATCCTATTTTCCCTCTTCTTTGGACTTAATTATCTATTTTGCTTCTTAAAAGAGTATCTGTATTTTGTTTTAATTCATGTGTAAATTTATTATGAAGGAGGGAGTAAACATTTGTTCAAAAACATATACTGATGATCGTAATTTCAGCTACTAGACATTAATGAAAAGCTCAGAGAATGTTCCTTCATCCTTAGTTCTGTAATGGGACTAACAGGCTCTGACTGCCTGGTTAGCTATCAACCATGTAAGAACTAACTTTAAAAGAGCTATCCCATTTGTGATCTTTTTCCTGAGAAAATTTTAAGAGGTGGAATCTGGGAGCAAAAATGCAGTGAAGAAAAATAAGAATTAGGCCAGTATTATAAATTACAAAAGGACTGAAATCTGTATTCCTTTTTGAAGTGGATTTGGCCTTTATATTCAGCTGAAGGCTACTCATATATCACAACACGCTGCATTTATTTCTTTTCAACCTAGTCTTAATTGCTTCCAAGACACCACTTCACATTAATAGTGTTGAAACATGACACTTTTTTGTTCTAAAGTGGACATATCAGTTCGAAGAGAAAGAAATTAAAAGGAAAGAAAATCCCTAAAATCACTACCTCAAAAAGATAGCTGCACTCTCAGATTCAATGCAGCATTACTCACAATAGCCAAGGTATGGAAACAACCCAAGTGTCTCCTGACAGATGAATGGATAAAGAAAATGTGGTGTGTGTATGTATATATATACATATATATATATATGTATGTATATATATACATACACACACAGTACTATTCATCCTTTGAAAAGAAGGCAGTTGTGCTACTTTTGACAATATGGGTGAACCTGGAGGACAATTTGCTAAGTAAAATAAGCCAGACACAGAAAGAAAAATACTGCATGATCTTACTTATATGTGGAATCTAAAAAAAGTGGGATTCATGGTAACAGAGAGTAGATAGCAGTTACCAAGGCTGGGAAGGTGGAGGACATGAGGAAATGCTGATCAAGAGGCAGAACTTTTCAGTTACAAGGTAAGTAAGCTCTGGGGACCTAAGGCACAGGTGCTGGCCACAGTTAATAATATAATAATGTATTACATGAAATCTGCTGGAGAAGAGATTTCAAGTTTTTACCACACACAAAAACAATGTTAATTACGTGAGATGATGGATATGTAAATTAGTCTTGACAGTGGGAATCTTTTCATAATGTAAACATACACCCAAACATCACATAGTATACTTTATGTGTATATAATTTCTGTCAATTTTACCTCAATGAAGCTGGGGAAAATACAGTTTGTAAAAGAAATCAAAAGCATCCCAGAGGGCTTTCCCTTGTGGCTCAGTGATAAAGAATCTGCCTGCTAATGCAGGAGACATGGGTTCGATACCTGGTCCAGGGAGATCCCACATGCCTTGGAGCAACTAAGGCCAAGTGTCACAACCACTGAAGCCCATGTGCCTGTCCTCCATAACAAGAGAAGCCCATGTACTGCATCTAGCCCCCGCTTGCTGCAAATAGAGAAATGCCCGAGCAACAACAAAAATAAATAAATTACAAAAAAAGCATCCTTGAGTGGTATGAGGAGCTTTTCTTAGAAGTCTGGGGTTCCAGTTCAAGATGGTGGAGTAGAAGGATGTGTACTCATCTCCTCTTGCAAGAGCACCAAAATTGCAACCAGCTGTTCAACAGCTATCAGCCTTCAACAGGAGGACGCTGGAACGCACCAAAAAACAATACCCCACATTCAAAGACAAAGAAGCCACGGCAGAGGGAGGGGCACAATCACAACAAAATCACATCCCATACCCAGTAGGTAGGCAACCCAGAAACTGGAGAACAATAATACCAAAGAGGTTCTCCCACTTGTGGAGTTTCTGAGCCCCACATCAGGGTTTCCAGCCTGGAGATCTGATAAAGGGACTAGGAATTCCCAGGGAATCTGACCTTGAAGGCCAGCAGGATTAAATCTTAGGACTTCCATAAGAATGGAGGAAACAGAGACTCCAGTCTTGGAGGGTACAAACAAATCTTCCACACACCAAGACCCAGAGGAAAGGAGCAGCAAACCCATAGGAGACTGAACCAAAACTACCCGCGAGTCTCAGAGGGTCTTCTGTGGATGCATGGGTTGGCAACATCTCACCACAGGGATGGAGGCACTGGTAGCAGCAGTCCTGGAAGGTCCCCCTTGGCATAAGCCCTCTTGGAGGCTGCCATTAACCCAACCATACAGCCCACAGACCCCAGGGCTGGCTCACCTCCGGCCAAATGACTAACAGGGAGGGAGTGCAACTCCACCCATCAGCAGAAAATTGGATTAAAGATTTACTGAGCAAGGCCCTGCCCACCAGAGCAAGACCTAGTTTTTCCCACCTTCTCCCTCCCATCAGGAAGCTTACAGATGCCTCTTAGCCTCATCCACCAGAGGGCAGACAGACGAAGCAAGAAGCACCATAGTCCCACGGTGATTAGGACAAAACCCACATTACAGAAAGTTAATCAGGATGAAAAAGCACAGAGTTATAACCCAGAAGAAGGGACATGATAAAATCCCCCAAAACAATTAAATGAAGTAGAGATAGGCAGCTTTCTAGAAAAAGAATTCAGAATAACTATATTGAAGATGATCCAGGATCTCAGAAACAGAACAGAGAAAATGCAAGAAGTGTTTACCAAAGATCTAGAAGAACTAAAGAACAAACAGAGATGAACAATACACTAGAAGGAATCAATAGCAGAATAATGGAGGCAGAACGGATAAATGACCTGAGGGACAAAATGGCAGAAATCACTACCACAGAACAGAATACAGAAAAAGAATGAAAAAAAAAAAAAAATGAAAACAGCCTAAGAGACCTCTGGGACAACATTAAAGCACCAACATTCGCGTTACAGTGGTCTCAGAAGAAGGAAAGGAAAGGACTTGGAAAAATATTTGAAGAAATAATAGCTGAAAACTTCCCTAAGATGGGAAAGGAAATAACCAACCAAGTCCAGGAAAAGCAGAGTCCCAGGCAGGATGAACCCAAGGAGGAACACCCCAAGACACAGTTATTAAACTGACAAAGATAAAATATTAAAAGCAACAAGGGAAAAATGACATGCAACATACAAGGGAACTCCCATCAGGTTGTCAACTGATTTCTCAACAGAAACTCTACAAGCTGGAAGAGAAGGGCACGAAGTATTTAAAGTGATGAAAGGAAGAACCTACAACCAAGAATACTTTACCCAGCAAGACTCTCCTTCAGATACGATGGAGAAGTCAAAAGCTTTTCAGACAAGCAAGTGTTAAGGGATTCAGCACCACCAAACCATCTTTACATGCTAAAGGAACTTCTCCAGACAGGAAACACAAGAGAAGGAAAAAACTTACAGAAAATACACCTAAAAGAAAATGGAAATAGGATCATACATATCGATAATTACCTTAAATGTAAATGGATTGAATGCACCAACCAAAAGATACAGACTGGCCAGGCAGATGAAAACATATGCATGTATGCATTTCGACTTACCACATCACTCTGCTTGACCCCCCAAATTGTATGTAATTATTTTATATTGTTAGGTTAATCATGTTCCCATTATGGCATGCAACTGTAATTATCTTTTATTTTTTGTCTGGCCATTGATTGTGAAAACTGATAAACATCTTTTACTACTGTGATTATGTAACTATTACTCACTTAATACCATTGTATCATGATTGGTCAACAGAAAAATAATAGAATTCTGTATCACCAAAACTGCTATTTAATAGAAAAACTTGTAACCACTTTTTAAAATCCAGATGCATGTGAGAATTATCTTGGAATTTAGTAAAAAATACAAATCCCAGGTACTACTTTTTTTTCTTCGAAACCCCAGATATGTTTCTAATGAGCAGCCATGTTTAAAAACAACCGGACTTTATGATGATCTTTTATTTTTATCTAGTTTGTTCCATTTTTTCTATTCCATATTCAGTGCTCCCATTTCACTTAGTTTCTGTTTTCCAATTTCTCCAACTTTTCTTTTTTTTCTTTTTGAAGTTCCTTCTCAAGTCTTTACCAAGTGCAGTAGAAAAGCTTTCGTATACATACCTATGTGTGTGTGTATCTATATAGCATGTATAATATATATATATATTAGAAAACATAAATTTTGTCTAACTAAAAAAATTATGACATTTTGATTCCACTTGATTTTGTATGACTAGAATGCTAGATTTCTAATTTAAAAGAAACAGCAGATATACAACAAGCAACAAAGGTATACCATATAGCACAGGGAACAATAGTCAATACTTTGTAATAACCTATAATGGAAGATAATCTCAAAAATAATATCTGTGTGTCTATAACTGAATTACCTGCTGTGCACCTGAAACACGGTAAGTGAACCATACTTCTATAAAATATATATATTAAGGAGAAAAAAAAGAAGTCTGGGACCAATATATTTTCAGTTTTATAAAGAATTCTCATTACATTTCCATTTCATTCATCATGGTGGCCTTTCTTAGATTATTTGACTTTTTTAGAGTAGGAGGAGCTATAATAAGAATTCCTATCTATTCACTCACCATAGGTATCAAAATGAACAAACAAAAACAAAACTCTAAGGTCAGTTAAATTAGCCAAAGACAAAGCATTTTCCTGTGTGTACATTGAAAAGAAAATTTGATTTCTCATCTACCTTCTTTCTCCCCTTCTTGCTTACAGAAAAGAGGTGGAATAATAATATATATAATGGGCTTCCCAGGTGGTGCAGTGATAAAGAATCTGCCTGCCAATGCAAGAGACTCAACAGTTACAGGTTTGATCCCTTGGTCAGGAAGATCCCCTGGGGGATGAAATGGCAATCCACTCCAGTATTCTTGCCTGGATAATTCCATGGACAGCGGAGCCTGGTGGGCTTTACTCCATGGGCCCACAGAGAATTGGACACATCCAAGCAACTGAGTATGCGCGTGCACACATGCACTAAAAATAATAATAATATACATAACATGATTCTAAATATAAACTACTAAGTTACTCAAAACCCTAGCGGATAAAATTAGCTATCAAGTACTAGTACTAGTGGTCTGATCTGCATTTACTAAACATTATTAGTCAGAAAACCCAAGGTCAACACTGTTCAAAGGTGAGATTCATTTAGCTTCATCATTCTTGAATATTAAGCCTAAGAAGAACAAAACAGTTAAATACAAAGTAAATACCCTGCTAGAAAAGATGCGGATTTCTTAAATACGCTCACAGATGAGTACTACGGAAGTGATGGAGTGTCAAAGTATACAAATTGAACATATTATATTGAAAATAATATATTAATAATTCCCAAATAAAACAAATTGAGATCTTTTGTATGTGTATACACATACAATAATAATGTAAATAAATGTAAAGCACTTAAAATTGCAAATAAAAATTTTAAATTTTCTCTTAAAAATGATTTTATGTATCTTTTTAAGCAGTAGTTATAGAATAACAGCTAAAACTGAATGAGTTATATCACAAACCTGAAACTGTGGGATTGTCATTTCAAAGGACTTGTTCTTCACTTGGCCTGAATGATCTGCCACTTTCAGCATCACTGCCACATAAGGATACTTAAGGGATCTGCAACTGTCAGAGCTCACAGCCATACCCAGCTTCCACTGAAAATCTATGAGCTGTAATGAAAGAATTCACAATAATACACCAGTTATAACATTGCCCTGAATGCAGGCATTTATTCAAATTTACTGCTCTCGAATTCAAGTTTTAACTTCAAGGCCAATCATAATAAAACAAAATGTCTTCAACTTAATATTGTTAGGGGGATAATAATCAAATGAACATGGAGAGAGGCAAAGGGACACAAACGGCGTTGGAAAACAACACTGTCATGATTACAGAAGGGAAAACACAAAAACAAAATTTTCCACCAGATGCGTAATGGAGGGAGATGTGTCAGTATCATTTTCCTCTGTTTTTTTCAGTCTGCTTCTGTCCTTAACGGGACTTTTGAATCATCTCTTATCTCATTTTCCTGTTCCACATATATCCTTCCCGCATTTCACAACCCGGAAGTCCTAAAATGGAACATGCGTTATATACCATCTTCATATTTGACTGAGGCACACATGAGAACCATTCGTTTCCTTCCTCACCTCAGTCCTTGACCTGAAACCTTAACGCTATCATAAATACTGGGGAAGGTGGTTTTAGATTTCATCACTGCTGACGGATACCTGTCAGGTGATGTGCTAGGCAGTCTACATGCATTAAATGCCACACTGAACCATCATAACATTACAGGCTAGTATTTCCATTTTGCAGATGATAAAACTGAATTTCAGAGAGCTGACATAATACGCACAAGGTCACAGATTTCTGGACTCATAGCTGAAACCAAAGTCTTTTGACTCCAAAGATTACATGCTTATTGACTACTGGGTGCCTCAATACTTTCCAGCTAATTCTTTTCTGATTGCTCAGTGTTTCCATGACACAAAGCAGGACTGGAGAAATGCAGCCCTTAATACAGAGCTCAAACCTTAAGACAGTACACGGAAGAAAATTTTGTATCTTGTACCCAAAGCTTAGGCAGATAGGTAGGACACAGTAGGCACTTACCAAAAATACCTATTGACGAATACCTTTTGCGACCAAATGAATGCTTACTGAGCAAACGACTTTACTTTTTATAAAAGGTGGGTTTAGTATAAGGACCAAACTTTCCTCCCATCTTTAGACTGGCTTTAGACGAAATCAGCTACAGTATGAAGGCCAGGCTGGTCCTGATAAAAGGTTAAATCTTTGATAAGTAAAAAGACTGTATAGGTCCTTTTTAAATAAAAGTTTCCCATACAAAAATAGAGAAAGGATAATGGGTAAACAAGAAAAGAACTACAAGCTGATAAATATATGGAAAGGAAACAGGAAAATGCACATTTAAACCACAAAGAGATATCACTACACACCCACCAAAATAGCACAATTTTAAGTTTGACGATTCTAAAACTGGCATGGAAGGATGTGTCACAGTGCACTGATGGTAGTCTAAACTGGGCCAGTCTTTCAGAAAATTAGCTTCACTTAAACTGAAGTTATACATGTCCAGAGATCCAGTCAGTCAATTACTAGGGATAAAACCTAGAAAAACAAGATACTTATATATTCTCAGAAGTTATATTCAAAATAGCCCTAAACTACAGATAACTCAGATGTTCATCAGTAATAAATAAAATACTGCACAGCAATGAAAATGAATGAGCTTCAGCTACCCTTAACACAAAAAATCTTGAAAGAGACAAGTCAAAAATTTAATTATTCCATTCACTTAAAACTTGAAAAAAAGGAAATGTGATTTTTTACAGATGCGTACACAGATGGCAAAACTATGGAAAAAAGCAAGACTATGATGATTACAAAAGGATAATCATTACCTCCAGGGAGGAAAGTGGAGGATATTTGATTGGCGAGGGGCATATGGTGAGCTTCTAGGGTACTGTGTGGCAGTGGTTTAGTCACTATGTTATGACCGACTCCTGCGATCCCATGGACAGTAGCCCGCCAGGCTCCTTTGTCCATTGGATTTCCCAGGCAAGAATCCTGGAGTGGACTGCCATTCCCTTCTCCAAGGGGTCTTCCTGACCCAGGGATCGAACCCGCATCTCCTGCACTGCAAGGGGATTCTTTACCTCTGAGCCACCAGGGAAAGGTAGTGGTACTGTTGTATTTCTTGCATTTTGATTGTAATTACATAGATGTTCACCTTTAAATTACCCATTTTTTTGGTAACTATTTGAGGAGATGGAGGTTAATTAAATATACTGTGGTAATCGTCCTGCAGTATATGTATGTGAAGTCATTATGCAGAGCTATATTTCAATTATATCTCAATACAACTAGAAACAATAAAATTATTCATTAAACAATTCATATGTTATGTATGTTTTGGTATATATGTTACCTTGCACATGTAGCAGAAGAAGGGGAGGATATGTCAGTGAGCTCCACATTTCTGGTTGAAAGGAAAATTTTATTGAAAGGAAAGCATTAGTGGGGATAAAGTTCAGGTTTGAAGAATAACAGAACTGAAAATGAGAGGGAAAAAAATGTTTTATATATTCCTTAAATATACATTGAGCAAAGATCTAATGCTTGGTAAATATTAAGCTGAACCAACTAGAGATGAAGACAGTTGATATCTGGCTAAGAGGCAGAGCATTCATCTGTCTTCAAGTGAAAGGTTCTTATAAGAAAGTATGGAAAATAAAGCTGACAAAAGTTCAAGAATCAAGAAGCCATAACTTTTTGCAAAATTGTACAAGTTTTCAAAATACTCTCATTTAGAGTTGACTCTTTAAAAATGTGGGTTTGAATGCAGGGATCCACTTACACACAGATGCTTTTTAATAGTAAATAGCAGAGTACTACATGGTCTGCAGCTGGTTGAATCCACATATAGGCAGAGGAACCCAGGATATGGGGGACCAACTATAAATTACATATTGACTAATCTCTATACTGTTCAACAGTCAACTGTATTTTATCTTATTATGAAAAACATTATCATGTCAGTCATTTAAACTTTTTCAATTGGCAATGGGTATTCACTAAAAGTTTCTGAGTACAGAGAACAGTATGAAAGTACTGATTTAAAAATATTCATCTGGTGGCAGCAGAACACAGTAATCCAGGTTCAAGGTTTTCTGTACCGGAACTACAGTGGTGACAAGTAGGATTAAGCTTATCAATAAAAGAATGACTTGACAGGTCTTGATGATTGTCTGCAGGGTTAAGGGAGGTATCAAACACAACTATAAAAGTTTGAGCCTGAATGACTAGGAGAATATATCATATGGGAACCAGGACTTTTTATATTTTAAGTCTAAAAGTATTATCAAAAAGTGATAATTAATCTTTATGAGAAAAGAATTTAAAAAACAATGAATATATGTATGTGTATATATAACTTAATCACTTTGCTGTACATCCAAAACACAATATTGTAAATCAACCATACTCCAATAAAATTAACAAAAAAAAAGGGGTAAGGAATATCTAAATAGGAATGTTCGCTATGCGGCTAGAAATTCCAGAACAGACCTCAAAGGAGTTCATGATTAGAGATATCATTGTATATCAGTTAGATGGTGACATTCAGAAACCTAACCAATCATTTTTTAAATGCATTTGGCCATACAACTCATTGATGCAAGAAGTTATATTTTTACTGTCCACAATAAAATGATAGAGTAAAATATTGAAAAGTCTGAAATAAAACTCTGGATTATCCAGAACATTTGAAGCAGAACAGCAATTAAAGAACGCAATGTTGGAATTCACTGACCATTATGATGGTGCAACTGGCAGATGGGAAAATAGGGAGAGCTGTCATTTACTGTGGGGAAAAAGAGCTTTTTACATGGGGAAAACAGCTGGGATTAAGTTTATGGGATGAGAATTTCCCAAATTGTAAGCTGAATATTTACATGCAAATTAAAAACAAGACTTCTAATAAGAGTGGTTGAGCCTTAAATAGGAATTAGCTGCAGACAAGATTTTCAAAAGAATAAAAAAGAAAAAAAAAAAAAAACAGGGCTATGGAGAATATTAAAAATAAAGCAATATAGTTCAAATTTCTCATAGAATGAAGGAAACAATTTTAAAAGAAAAAATACAGAAAAACCCAGTAGTAAAAAATTTAAAAAAAGAGAGAGAATATCCATAAGTAACATGAATATAAAGGAAAAAAAACAATCAAGATGCAAGTATAGATAAAAAGATAAACAAAGAAATTAACTGCAGTCTGTCACACTAAAATTAGTTGACAAGCTGGCTTATATCTCAACATTCAAAAAACGAAGATCATGGCATCTGGTCCCATGACTTCATGGTAAATAGGTGAGGAAAAAATGAAAACAGTGGCAGATTTTCTTTTCTTGGGCTCCAAAATCACTGCGGATGGTGACCTCAGCCATGAAATTCAAAGACACTTGCTCCTTGGAAGAAAAGCTATGACAAACTTAGACAGCATATTCAAATATTCAAAAGCAGAGACATCATTTTGCCTACAAAGGACCATATAGTCAAAGCTATGGTTTTTCCAGTAGTCATGTATGGATGTGAGAGCTGGACTATAAAGAAGGCTGAGCATCAAAGAATTGATGCTTTTGAATTGAGATGCTGGAGAAGATGCTTGAGAGTCCCTTGGACAGCAAGGAAATCAAGCCAGTCAATCCTAAAGGAAATCAACCCTGAATATTCATTGGAAGGACTGATGCTAAAGCTGAAGCTCCAATGCTTTGGCCACCTTACACAAAGAGCCAACTCATTGGAAAAGGCCGTGATGCTGGGAAAAGACTGAGGGCAAGAGGAGAAGGGGTTGACAGAGGATGAGATGGTTGGATGCCATCACCAACTCAATAGGCATGAGTTTGAGCAAACTGCAGGAGATAATGAAGAACAGGGAGGCCCAGCATGCTGCAATACATGGGGTCACAAAGAGTTGGACACAACTTAGCAACTGAACAATAACAAGAAATTATGGCTGAAGTTATCAGTAACATAAAAACATCACAAAACTGTGTACAAAGAAAAAAATTTTAAGACCATTTCAGTTTAAATTTAACTTTTATTTTTCAAAACACAACCTAGGAGAACATTTAAAAAATAATTATGC